GCTTGAAGCCAGGAACACACTAAGGTTTTTTAATTTGCTGGCGGGAGTTAATTCTTTGCCTTTCTTCAAAGTATTCCTGCTGTATGCAGTACATGATGCGCACCCACGCTTCTCTCAACAGCTCCGCTGTCAGCATCGGTTCATCACCGCTGGTAACCAAGGTCTCGCGATTTGTTTTGCGCCGAAAGAAGTACAACAGATATGCCACTTTTCGCTGTATCTGCCCAAAATTACTATGCGACTCCAACCACAGCAGCACCTGATTTTTTCGATGCTCGATGGGTAGTGCCACTGCTCTCCTTTGTTCTATGTTTATTTCAGATGCGTCGCTGCGAAATCTGTTCGGTGGCCATTTGTCACACGTTTGCCTCAAAAACGCTGGGCCAGTAAACCAACAAGTCTCGATTAGCTCATCTGCATATGCGCCGCGAGATATAACATCCGCTGGGTTACTCTTGGTTGGAACATGCCTCCATAGTGCATGTTTCGTCCACCCTTGAATTGTTGCCACTCTGTTCGCAACGAAAATTGACCACTCCGATGGATGCTTACTTAACCAATTTAGTACGATTTCGCTATCTGTCCACAAATAGATTGCATTCAATGAAACGACCAAGTTTTCTTGGGTTTTGGTTAATAACTTGGCCAATAATTCAGCTCCAAGTAATTCCAATCGTGGTAGCGACTTAGTTCTTAATGGTGCCACTCTGGACTTGGCGCTCCACAGCGCCACCGTAACCTCGTCCAGCTCATTGACGGTGCGAATGTACACGCATGCCCCATAAGCCCGCAGCGACGCATCACAAAATCCGTGTAATTCGACTCGGGCAGGACCATTTTTCGCCAAAATATATCGTGGTACTCGTATATCTTTGACCAAAGGCAGTTTCTCGCGAAATCTGATCCACTGAGCGTTATCCTCCAATGGTAGGGATTCATCCCAATGCACCTTTATAATCCACAGATTTTGCAAAAAGATCTTAGCCTTTACGATTATGGGGTTTATTAGACCGAGAGGATCAAACAGACTCGCAATCTCCGCCAGCACAATCCGTTTTGTCACCGGTTTATCCATTTTCAGCTCCGGCCAATCATAACGAAACACATCGGAAGTTGGCTCCCATATAATACCGAGAGTTTTGATGATTTCGGCATCGTTCATACGCAGTGGCTTCTCTTGATCATCCGATGGCACTTTCTTCAAAAATTCACTATTATTCGAGTACCATTTACGTAGCTCAAACCCTGCAGAACTTAAAATCTCGCTGACCTCCGAGTAAATTTGTTGTAGCTGCTCATCGGAGTCTGCACCTGATATCAGATCGTCCATATAAAAATCTGATAAAACCTTGTTTGCACCATATGGAAACTTCTCTGCGCACTGTTCACCAAGTGCCTTTACACATCTCGTCGCCAGATATGGCGCGGACGCCGTTCCGTACGTGATCGTCAATAAGCGATATACTTCAATATCTTCATTTGGGGTTGGCCGCCACAATATACATTGATAAAATGAATCCTCTTCACTCACCCAGGCTTGCCGATACATTTTCGTCACATCCGCTGTTATCGCATACTTATAGCATCGAAAGCGCAACACGATCGCCAGCAAGTCATCTTGTACAATGGGTCCTTTGCACATTACATCATTCAAAGAGAGCCCCGATGAGGTCTTACAACTGCAGTCAAACACTACCCGCAGTTTAGTACTTGTAGATTCTGGCCGTAACACAAACGTATGCGGTGCAAGGTACTTTACCTTTTCTCTGGAATCCCTTGATACTGGATTATTCCTTAGTCTCTTTTCAAGGAGCAAGAATCGCCGTAATGCCGCTTGATTTGAGTCACCTAGCTCAGCGACATTTTCTTTAAATGGAATCCTTACCACGAAGCGCCCAGTGTCATCACGTCTAGATTCTTTGATAAAAATCTCTTCACACAGTGCCTCGTCCGCTGTTGGAAACAGTGTTTTTGCATCAACCTGTTCCATCAGCCAAAATTTCTCTACAAGGGCCGTCAGTTCCTCTTCAACACCTGGTTGCTTGGATGATGTCATCATTAAGCTGCTCCTAAGCCTCTCGTTGGAGTCGGCTCGATTTGTCACACCTGACACGACCCAACCCAGCACAGTTTTCTGCAATCGCGGGAGATTCGCTTTCAGCGTAATTCGGCCAACCGATAATAAGTCCCAAAAGATTTCTGCGCCTAACAGTACGTCTATACGGCCAGGCTTGTTGAAATTCGGATCTGCCAATGATATGTTACTAGGGATGCCCCAATCATCTGCATTCATAAATTGGTCTGGCTTAAACGACGTTATTTTTGGCAACACATAAAACTCAAGTGATGTCTCGTAACCACCAATCCTTGATTTGACGCTTGCCTGCACTTTTCTTGTAATATTTGTGCCACTGTCTGCAATGCTGTGCGCAGTCATGATGCATGAAGTCCATTTAAGCTTTAGTCTCTGCATAAGCGGTTCGCACATCAAATTTAGTTGGGACGCTGAATCCAAAAGCGCACGAGCTTGGATTTCCGGTCCATTTCTCCCCTTGATACCAATTACCGCCGTTGCCAAAATAACATCCGCGCCTTCGTTTTGCATCGTAGCATGCACAGCAACTTGACCTACCGTAGCAGCTTGCGTCGTGCCTGGTGCGTCGATCGTCTTCACTTCTACGTTGTTTTTATGCAGCATTTTATGGTGGTCACCACCGCACTCTATACACCGTTTCGCTTGACAGCTACTGGCCTTATGCCCACTTTGCAAACACACGAAGCACAGCCTCAAATGTCGTGCCGTTTTGCGCCTCTGCGGAACCTTCTGAGCCTCAAATTTACGGCAGCTTTCTACGTTGTGCCCGTCCTTTCGACAAACTTCGCATCCACCTTTCTCTATAGCCAAAACGTTTTTTTTACAACCAACCGCCTTGCGATTATCTTTGCGACTAGCTTTGCTTCCATCGTCCTCGTTCTCGCCACAGCGTGCCGTTCTTGTCTCTCGAGCCTCCATATTTTCACATCTCTTAGTCAACACTGCAGAGCATTCATCCCAAGTGGATAGCCTTGTATAGTCGATAGATTCCTCCCACTTTGCCAAGGATTCCTCGTCTAATTTCGTTGCTACAAGATAGATGATCATAGCATTAGTTATGTCTTTATAATTACCAAACGACAGCATCGCGTTTAAATGAGTGTTCACTGAGTCAATCAATTCCCGCAAATCGCCCGAGCTCGACACCTTTTTCTCAGAAAATAACGCCGTAATATGTTCCTCGAACATTAAATTTTTTTTATCGAAGTTACTCCTCAGCCGGTCAAGCGCCTTCTTATAATTTAAACTGGTAATCTCGAATTCATCAATGGCGTGAAGTGCTCGTGCGGATAAATTATCTTTAAGAATTAAAAACCGCTCGCAATCGTCCAAGGTTTCATCTTGATTCACCATCTTATGGAAAATCGCCATAAATTTCGGAAACTCCGAGTATTTTCCATCGAATGTTGGTAGTTTTATATGACGCCTCATTGACGATTGCGGAATCGCCGCCGTTGTAACGTTAAGCGCACTTGCCTCGGCATCAACCCGGCTTGCAGCCAGCTTTTCTTTTATTTTCGCCTTAGCTGCAACGTAAATATCCTCGATGTCTGCCATTGCCTTCTCGTCGGACTCACATTCAGATGGAGTACACAGTCGAAGTATGCTGGTACTAATCGACAATGCCTGCTTGAAGTAGGCTTCCAAAATATCTAACCTGCAACCCAGCTCCTCGATAGGAACATTCTTCTTGCTGACCGCTGTTTTAATTCGAGTTATATTTCCCTTGGTCGACGAGCGCAATTGTTTATACTCCGACAATTTTTCAGCTTTGGTCAGATCAACCTGTTGCTCCATTTCATCTTCATTACCCATATTTCTTTGTTACTTTGCAAGAATTACTCCAAAAAATTTTAAGAAATATTCGGCTCTTGTCGTCTTTTTTTGCAATTTAACTCTTTTTTTTCTCCGTGTAAATTAAGATGCGCTCGATCATACGATCCAACAATAGGAAACTGCCGTTGATAAATCTTTTGTTTCTTGTTTTCTAGTTCTTTCGATTACCGCTGACTGAGAACTTCTCTGCCTGCGTCGACGCTTCGCTGCCAACCTCAACTCCAACACGTTCACGTGTTCGTCGTATGCACCGCTTTTAATAAACTCAAGCTGCTGACGTTCCGTCGTTGTTGTTGCTCGAAGAATTTGCAATCGAATTCTACGTACCTAGTACATGCATATGTACCACCAATAAGTTCTTGTTCACGCGTTAACTTACGAAGTTTGCTTCCTATGACGATTTGAATTTCCTCGCCAGAATCCTGGTCACGGCACCAATGTTTCGTTGCAAGCTTTTTTGCAACGCCCGAACCCAATT